TGTTTTTTTTTTTTTTTTTGCTTTTTCAATTCTTTACTTATAACTAGCAATAGTAAGATAATTTGTATGAAATGAGGCAATTGTGGCTACGCTTAAGAAGAATGCAGTGCTAGATGAGGTTGGTGAGGAATTGTGTCCTGGAAATGAAATGAAGCGCCAGTTTTGATCTGAGCAACTCAATATAAATTCACTCCTTCAATCAATCTTTCCAATGAATTTATTAATTTCTTCAGGGAGAGTTCTGCGGCATTCTTGTTTTTCCTATACAATTGTCTCGTTTCAGACCCGAGACCCTGTTTGGAATTCAATCCTTACATTTCGTGTGACACGACAATGTTGCTTGAAGTTCTTCATCTTCGATGAAAATAAAATTGTAGGTGTTTTACTTCTAATCTCCTTTGTGCGTTAAGATTCACATTGAAAATCGATAACAGTCACATGAAGTCAACATTAACTTATGAAATATGATCGTTTTTCGGAGCTGATCCAACTGATTTACATATAATCATGTGCCCGTGTGGGGGTAGTAATGGGGTTACACCCTAACGGCTGAACAATCATTGTGCTTTTGGGAATTTCGTACTTTTGTACCTAAATTAGGTTCGATAGGCTTTGGTATTGTTCTTCTGAAGTTATTTTCGTTTTTCAGCGGAAAGACGCGCTGCTAGGCTCGGTTGAATTCGACCTTTCTGCAGAGAATATTCCAAACGACACTAGGCCTCCTTCTGTGTATCCGTTAAAGGGTGGACGACACAGGCAAGCAATGTGTAGTTGTACATACGGCGTTGATTACAGCCATTTTTAGGAATATTGGTAGTCTTTGGATTGGAATGCACTATCTGCCGTCAGATCAATCACCAAGTGAATCTACCAGTGACTTACAAGTTAATAATTCCATGCCTGAAGGTAGAACTTTCTTTCTTCAATATATTAACCTTCTTATCTCAATCTTTGAATCTGTTTTTACTGGGTTCACGGCTAAATAAAGATTTTCTTTTTTTGAGGCTGGGAAGAACGCGAAGATGGTAATGGTCGCACGTTCTATGTAAATCATCTAGACCGCACTACACACTGGAGTAGACCGAGAGTGGAATCTGAGAATGGAGTGTAAGTTTGCCTTTTTTTTCAACACCTTCATGTTTGGTTATTAGCCCTTTTGTGAGTCCTTAACCTAATTTGCTTTAGTCTTCCTATTGAATGGAGTCTCTTAATTAAGCTTTTTTAATCTTAAACCATCCTAGTATTAATTTTATACGACCCATTTCAATGTGCTGAGCTTGTAATCCTAAGGTTTTCATTTCGATTAGTAATGTGGAGTACATTTCGTCTTTAATCGTACCTAGTATTCATACTTTTGAGTTTCAATTTCTTTTGACTGGTCTGCAATCAGAATGTACCCATCTGCCAATGAAAATCTATTTTTCCTCTGGAAATTCTTCTCTCTTCATTTTGCACCACATTGGTATCTAACCTCAAAACCTTTTGGGGTGCTAACTCCTTTCTATAAATCTCCCTAGTTGAATGTTTTTGGTTAGTACTTTCGTAGATCTCATAACATTAGCGTTTGCAAGCTAATAGGCTGTCTTGCTGCATCTCCGCAAAAAAACAACATTCCATCGTAGTTATGAGGCTCGTAAAACTCCTAATCATCGCCATTCCATGCTGTTTACTTTCCTATGCTTAAATTAATTACAAAATTCCTATCCATTGCTGTTCAGTACTCCGCCAAAGCTGCAGAAAATTTCAGATGGAAAAGTCATAAGAATATTGACAAGGGAGTATGTCTTAGCAAGCACATTGTTATCAGACTAAATAAAAATTCTACTTTTAATGTTTTAGAGAAAGACAGCGCAATGAAGAAGAGGTTAGACGACGAAGAGATGACTATGAACGACGTCGACAAGTCACGAATTCGAGTCCAGACGCAGTCAGAAGCCAGCTTGAAGCGGCGAGTGATTCTTTCTTTTTTTATGACATTAGAGTACACTAGGCCATTTCGTCAGAAAGCTGTTTTTTCCTGCCTGTCGAATTTTGCCACATGGAAAACATCCATACCTACTTTCAACGACATTTTATTGTTATCCAATTGTAGATAGATAACGCAATGCGCTCGAATTTCGTTGGTGGCACGCAAGCGAACGGTGAAGCCGAAGATGAACCGTTGCCAGAAGGATGGGATATGCAAGTGAGTAGCAGCAACAACCGACTGTTCCAGAATTCATAGATAGTATGGTTCAGATTGCTCCCAATGGTAGAACATTCTTCATCGATCATCGTACGAAGACTACCACATGGTTGGATCCAAGGACAGGAATTGCTGCCAGTCGCCCGCAACCCGGAAGGACTGACGATGAGATTGGTGCACTACCAGAAGGATGGGAGCAAAGGGTACGAATAGTAATCCTTCATGCACTATCTTTGAGTTCTTCATGATCATAAGCTCGTTTTTTCCCTCCTCACTTGTATGTTGAAGATTGGAAATTGCAAATGTGGAAGTTTTGAATGAATGGTATCTACAAACGACTTATCTCTAAAAGTACCTCATCGCGACTACCCAGCTGATTGCTTGTAGTGGTCATACTGTTAAACTAAGGCATATATCTAAGGGAGAATAAGAATTACTTGGCGTTATTGCAGTTACATTATTAGGCAAACAAGGCTTGTATCTAAGTGTGCCGACATTTTCTAGAAGTGCAGTGAACAAAAGGATTTGTTAATAATCTCTCGCAACCACATTAGCTTGCGATCATTTGCTGCGGTCATCATGTTAATATTGAAGTACTTACAGATCTTTTTTAGGAATTTCAAATATGTGTCCCTTTATTAACATGCAACTTACAGGTCCATACTGATGGACGGGTGTTCTTCATCGACCACAATAACCGAAGAACACAGTGGGAGGTAAAAATTGCAAGTTCGACAATAATTTTCACGATCAATTATGTTGTTTTCGCAAGTTTGCCAAAAATATCTTTTTCAAATGAATACTTTTTTGCCCTTTGCCATACTTCTTACCTGTAGTTTGTCTGACTTGCTTAATCCTATTCTTACGTCACGGCAAGTTTCGATATTGAGTTATTAACAATCCGCGAACCAATTTGTTCAAAAAA